CATACGCGGTGCTGTTATTGTGAAAACGGTTGTTCTCCTCCAACATCTCCAACCATCGTGTTGCCACCTCCCTGAGTGTTCCTTATGGTGCGTTGCGTCAACGTCACATTCGGCCATTTTACTACTGCTCATGACCCAGAGTTTACTGCTCCTGCTGTCACGAGCCGTCCTATCTCAAACGGGGCACGCGAAAGGCCGCGGTCGTCTGCTGCTTCCGAAAGAGCGGGGCGTTCGAATCGACCAACCAGGGCCCCGGATTACTCCGTGGGAAAATCCCAATACACAACGGGGCATAACAAATTGCCTCTGGACGGAAGGGAGAAGCTTCGGGAGGCAGCGATCTGGGCTTAGCCCTTCGTGCTCCTGGTTCGTAGTGTCGACTATATATATCGCATGTAAACCCATTTGAGTCTTTTGTCGGAACTGACACTTTCTGCGGAGAGCAATTCTTTGATGTTGCAAAGAAAAGGATGGGATTTGAAGACTTTTGTAAACAAGACAAAGTAGAGGGCTTAGGACAGGTTGCGAATATCCATGTCGAGCGACCCGCTGTCGAGGAACAGAAGTGTAGGAAGGAGTTTCGTAACAAGCCCTTTAGCTTCGCAGAGTAGGGATTAGCCTCAAAAACAAAATTATAAAAACCCTTTGGCAGGCAGCTCGACTTTAGTTTAAAAACAAATAGATATGTTCTGGCTGCTTTTTTTGTGCAGAATTATCAGGTGGTGTCAAAAGATGGAGGACAATCTATTATACTTGCTTTTCATAAAAAATAATTATTCATACACGGAGATTTTAATATATTCAATTTGTTTAGTACAACGCAAGTAATCAATAAACAAAATGTTTACGTTCGTGGTAAGAGAGCGTAAGTTTCATCTTCCCTTAAGGCGTGAAGACACTGGTTTACGCTGCAGATGGGAACTTAGCCAGTGCAGTACCCGGCGTCTTCAAAGGGCATCGCGCAGTGGTGAAACACGACTGCGTTCCTCTACGAGGCTTATCTTGATCAAAACGGGCTGGGGGAAAAATGAACCCAGAAGCTGCAGAATCCAGTGGGTTCTGCAATGAGAGATTTTGCTCCACGTTCTCCGAGGTGCTTCGCAGTAGCATATTGCCACCTGCATCGGTTCTTCAGTAAACTAAGCAATGAAAAAAAAGAAAAAAAAAAAAAAGAAAAAAATTCAGCGGGCAAATATTTTTACATTTGAAATTAAGACAATTGAATTGAGGTGAGACCCGATGCGCAACGGAGCCTCTTCTACACGGAGTACTCAATCCTTCTGCACCAATATTCATCATTTGACAAATGTATGCGAAGATTAGCTATGAAAGTGAAAACGGTGTATCTGTGTGTGCTTGTCCGTTATTTATTTTTTTATGTTTCCAGTCTCGGGTTTTTCAATATGACCCTAAGATTTTCTCGTTACGCGACCCCACAATTTAAACATTTCCCCAATAAATCTAGTGGAAATATTCGATGATACGTGACACCGTAACGTCACACGACAGTGATATCCCATTTTCGGTCATGTGAAGCCAGAGTGTCAGGCGACGTCATGACTTCATAAAATTCATTGAACGCTATACGTTTATCCTCAAAATTTTGATAAATTTAGCGCAGAAACGCTTTGCTTGATGTCAAAGAGTGAGTGACGTCATGAGATGTGCGGAATATGACTTGACATTTTCCTCGATAGATTTAGCAGGTAAGTGCTTCAAATGACGTCACAGCCTCACTCAACGTCAAATGACGTCGATCGGCGTCACAGTGTCTTCTCAGCTTACTTCTGCGGAGAAAGAGTGCACGGCAAATAACAATGTCAAAACCTCGCCAATTTTGAGCCTGTAGCTTTTTCCGCGGCAAGCGCACCTCTCCAGCAACAGATAAAATGTATGCGCAAATTGTGTTCTAATTCGCAGTAATTAAGATTGTATTATTCCTGCCTCTTATTATTCCGGAAACTCTTAACTATTACTGAAATTGTTCCAGCGATTTTTTTTTTTTACGACGTCCCATTAAGGGGAAAATGTCCGAGAAGCTTGGGTTTGGAAGCCAATAAGTAGAGGTCTCGAAGATGTTTTTTTGTGTGTGTGTCCCTCGACCTTGTGGCGACAATCGCGTACAGTTGCTTGCTGCCAAAACAGCGGCTCTGTGATTGGGAGATATTGAGCTTGAATGTTGATGAATCGACACTGCCAGCAGGCGACGTTGTCGATAGGCTCGTTCTGTCTGCTCCCGAAGTCAAGTCATTCGGTTTTCTAATACACAATGCAAGCTGGCTCAAGTCGATCTACGCACGCCGGAAAACGAGATGAATGCGATTTGAGAACGTGCGCATTTGATTCCGCCAATGACGGAAAGCTAAACCCTTTACGCAAAAGCTGGAATAAAAAAAAAAAGTCTAGGAGAGAGTAATGAATGGAGCGCACGGACCGCGAATGCAAAGCCTCCATTGTCTCTCGGAAAACAATGAGGTTTCAAGCTCTTTTGAGGCAACTGCTACTCGCGGAGAATGCGGGTAGGTTGGGACTCGAACCGGCTGCGCTAGTGGGGTCTTGGAACACAATGCCGATTGGCAAACATCAGCAGTCGGAACGAACAATTGATTTCGTGGAGTGTAAAATTTCTTCGGTGCGTTCGCCCCTGCGGCTAAAGTTGGTTAGCGGAATTGCGATTTCGGTAGCGGCAGGGCGACTTCCGCCGAGGGGCTTTTGCGGTTACGGCTCTATCGCAAAGTTTGAAGTTCTCTTTCTTATTTTCTTGTAAATATACCTTTTGTTAAGTTTCCCCACAATGTAAGCTTCGTTGTTACATGCTCGATAGGCTGCAATGTGTCGCGCACACGTGAAGACGGTGTTTTCGAAGATATTATTTCAAAATGAAATTTAAAAATGCATCCTTGGGCTAATCATATTAGCCACATCAGCCGAACATGACTGGAGTCTGATACAAGGTAACAATGCGCCACAAACTGCACGTACACAGTCGATCCTTACCGCCAGCCACAAGGCCTGCGCCACTCCTCATTCAACGTCATCACAATGAGGGTGTCTCGCATGACGTGCTTCCGGCTCAAAATTTAATCGGGCGCCGGCATATTTTGACATTTCGCCCTATGTCATTTTATGCGAGGAGACGGTGTTTTCGAGCTCGCTCAAGTTTTCGGAGGTCGGCGGCCAAAAGATCCGACTGACTCCGGAAAAAGAAGAACCGGAGTAAGCATGGATTTGTGCTGCCCAGCTACGTCCCTGGCCGTAGTTACAGAGTTCTGTGATTGGCGGACCACACACACACAAAAAAGGCGCCAGCCAGTAGCTAAGCGTCTGGATGCAAACTAATGGGTGAAGCGGAGATCGCTATCTATCAACATGGAGGAACGCGGCTCACAGGAGGGAAAACGGCGTTTCTTGAAACCGTGTTACAGATAAGGACGAAGTTAAAACGGTAGGACGGAGCTTTAGGAGGCCCCGCTCTTTGCTGCACGATTGGTTAACACCCGCTTTGCTTACCGCGCGGAGCACTTCTCGGTTCGATAAATAAGTCTCAGAATATTCGCCAACGTCAAACTCTCAAACCTTATCATGGTGAAATAATTAGAATTATGAGAAAACGGCATTCCTGTAATTCTCGAATACGATGCCTGTAGCATGCCACGCTACCGATTGCTAATCGCGAACGCCGCTTACGTAACGTTCAATAGAAGTATAAAACGAGTCAGTGTTGACCGCCGCAAAGGACGTAAAGAACGAAACGTGGTTAAATATGTTTCCGTTTCTTACGCGTTTTCATATTAATATGCGTGATAAAAACAAACGCATCTACAAATACTTGTCACTCCGTACGTTTTTCTTACTTTGTAGTGGGTATTAAATTGCTCGCACCGCGCTTGATACTGACACCCTTTGCCCTCTATAATGTCCAACCGGGTCTTTCAACCCATAGAAAAAACAAAGTATGTGTATATATAATCCATGCTCACTAAAAATAAAATCAGTTGGCAAAAGAAATTAAACGAACAAACTGTATGCTCAAGTAAACCTTACGCCGACCTAGATAAAACAAGGGCCTTATTTCTCTACAAAATATTGTAGTTTCGTTGTTACTATGTGTTCGTTTATATAAGTCATATTAGTCTATGTTACAGTGATATACCTTGTGTCTTCTTTCTGTTTTTGTAAACACTGGAGACTACCTGTGTTCGCACAATGAAGAGATACCGACACCACGTAAGAACTCGTGCTACTGTACCCCTGCTCCGGAGACAGCTTATCTTCTAAATAATTATATAAAAATCAACAACAACAAAAAAACTATTGTAGTTGTTGACAATTTAAGACACGCCAGGATTTTCTATGTTCAAGCTTCATGATTGCTTCTTTGATATACTAATTGACTAGTGATGCAATCAAATTTTCTTTGAAGCGATGATAAGAAAGCGTAAACGACTAAATCTTCGCGAGGACCTTATTTTCGCGAATTTCGCGAATCGCCTACAATTCGCGAAACATACGTCCCGCGAACCATTCGGGCAATATGTGAACGTTACGGAAGCTACACTTGATTCGCGAAAATAAGAGCCCGCGAATATTTTCGAACTTTCAGCTTTGGCCCGATTCGTGAAAATTTGAGCCCGCGAAAATTAAGTCGTTTACAGTATTTGAGGTCGCGTCACGCGCTGCGTTTCTTGAGCAGGCAGCGAACTATAGCTAATTGACGACCACGACATATATCTCACGATGGATGCAAAGATGAAGAAAAAATTACCATATAGTTCACTTGTTTCGATTAAAACTCACCTTTAATAATGGATGAACGGAGGCATGTCAATGGCTATACCCATTGTAACGGGGGTAGCTTGCGCCACCTAGCCAATGTCTACAGAGAAGCAGCTCCTCAAAACTTTACGATGGCGATCATTTAATGGAAATTTTCTTTGCTCACGTTCCATTAAAATGCTGAGTGTCGCGACTAGTTCTAAACCCACCATTAAGACTAGCTGTTGATCATTTATGTTTTTATTTAAGACGGCGGCAGTTGCGTAACGTTTCGTCCATATTTTTTTTTTTATTTTTGTTTCGGGGAAGCAGGTGAGACAGAAATCACGATAATAAACACGGTCGCATAGAAAGAGCTCAAAGATCATTTTTGGCCGGCATCAACCGCCGGAAGTTCGGAATGGCTTGCACGTCTTCTCGCCGTTGCTCACGGGCACACAAACTCGACGACGTGTACACTGTCTTGGACGACGTCCCGCACAGCCCAACTTCCATTTGGACGGTTCTGCCGCCCGGTCTGGAGAGCGCCAAGTCACTCTGTGATGACGCAGGGTATGAGTCACATCACGAGGCACTCTCTCAGAGTCGCAGAGGTCTGAAGATCCCAGGCACAATCTCGCTGGTCTTAAAGCACGCCTGTAGATGAGGACACACGGACACTGTTCAATACACAGTAGATAAGGGACAATAGTATCTTGCCTAATCGTTACAGCACCTATATTATTTTTTACCATTTTTATAAACAAATCTCGGCCTCCGCACGCACACACAAAATAAACAGATTCTCCAAAAAATACCATAATTTAAGCAAACATCCTATCTCAACGTGCGCTTATACGAATGATTTACATGAACGAGATAAAAAAAAAAACAATGAGTCTTACGATTAACTGTCTGATTCTTCTATAGTTTCAAGCTTTTCACAACACGGAGCATTTTAGATCTACCTCATTTAAAGACGCATTGCAGCAAAAATAATTTTTTATACGAATAAATCTTTAGCTTGCTTTTTCATCATATTTTAGAACTTGAGTGAAGCGTTTGCACACAACATTTTTCCATAGAGAAGGGTAACAAGGGGGATAAAGGACAAACAAAAATATCCAAACACAGCTAAGTGACTGGTGCGCGACCGAAAAAATCCGCCTGGTCCTGGTATCAAACCAGAGGCCTCCCAATTTCCAGTAAGCGCTCAATGAACTGAGCTAACCAGAAGTTAGACATCAGTAGAGCAAACGGGTTTTATCAGCTGTCACCAGTGTGACACCAACAAGGGTGGCTTGAATTTTTAAGATTATGATGATAAAGACGATAGTTTCCCCAGAGAAGGAGAACAAGGGGGACAACGTCCATAACCTTAATATGCAGGCCACCTTTGTTGGTGTTACACTGGTGGCAGCTGATAAAACACTTTTGCTCTACTGACGTCTAACTCTAAGTTAACTCAGTTGGTTGAGCGCTTCACTGGAGATGAGATGGAGAGATCCCTGGTTTGATACCAGCACCAGGCGGACTTTTTCGTTCGCGCACCAATCACTTATCTGTGTTTTGAGATTTGTGTTCGTCTTTTATCCCTCTTGTTCCCCTTCTCTATGGCAAAATGTTGTGTTCAAACGCTTAATTGTATTAAATAACCTTCACCTCGTTACCCAGTGATTTAGCCTCAGTATGCCAATAAATTCCACTTTAAAATTTACCAAAACACAGAGAGGTTAGTGTAAAAACAGTGTGTCTGCCTAAAAAAACTCTACAGTGTTTTTTCGCCGTAAAAATAAAGTACGCATCCCCAACCGCATAGTCTCGGTTCAAATGTAGCGCTAGAGGATCGTACCAGATGCTAAAGTTTTGGAACTGCTTTGTCATATTAAACAGTTGTAGGTTATGTTCTGAAACTTTCAATGAAAAAACAGAGCGCAAACTGAAGCACTGACGAAATGAGAAACGCGCCTGGTCTTGTCGTTCGTGTTTCTTATACTGTCCGTGTTTCAGTTCGCGCTTGTAGACATTTAGATAATATGAGCCAACAAGACACATCAAAAGCTTTATTGAAAAAGGACTGCCCGTTTTCGGTAGTTAGTGCAGCTAAGTCGCATTAAAAAGAATATGTGCAATCTGATGACTTAATGCTGTATGGTTACTAATGCGATGAATGTGCTTCCACTGCCATTGCACTGGCTTAAGGAGACCTGATCTATTGCATTTTCTTATTTGCCTAATAAAAACATTATTAGTAATATTATTATAATTATTATTATTAATATATACCAGGGCATTGTCAGTCCCCATTTGTCGCAAAAAATATCCGGAAAACGCGTAGAACAGTTTATGTACTATAACGTTTCGTACTCAAAGTGAAATTTGGTTCGAACCACTGTCGCCCAATCTGCACAGAAAGTTAGATTTCGTCAATACGTAGGTGACTTTTGCAGTAAAAAGGACACTTTTTTAATTGTGGGGAGGGGGGGGGGGCGGGCAGATATTGAATGACATGAAATTCAGCCTTCATGTGCTACAACGCAAAGAAGAGATCAAGGTACACGCCAGCGGGTGGAAGTTTCCCATGACCCAAAACTAACTCCAGAATCGTTTACTAGCTCTAAACAGAGAAAAAAATAAAGCCAAAAAAGTTTCAAACGACGTAAAAGGAACTAGCAGGTAGGAGGAACGCACTTCGTCTCAAGCTCAGGGTTTGCCATCATTGGCGCTAATTTATAGCTCCCTTTTAGTTTACAAGGCGCTTTCCAAAGTGTCGGGGTCAAGTTACAAGCAGCAGAAAAAGGTACCCCTCCGCATTCCGAATGCCTAATGCGCAGTATCTGCTTAGAATTGCAAATTGTTCGCCACAAAAGACTTCATCCCACCGTCGAACGGAGAGATGGTAACCAACTTAAAATGCGAATGTCTCGAGTCGGTGGAATGCTTCCCTAAGTGCGTAACGAAGTCTGCGTCTAGAGCGTTCAAACCTTGGAGGGTTGGATAGCCTGCACTGTGCAATTCGAGCGAATTTGCATGTTCGCTGTTGCGCTCTGGATAGCTCAGTCTTGTTAAATTAAGCATTTGAGATGTGCGATCTGCACGAATATTCAAATGTCAATGTTTTGACGACGTTAAACTTGGTTATAGCTTACCAATTGATGTTAATATAATACCAAAAAGGCGAACTTTTGGCATTACTTTTATTATAACTCGAGGGCATTCCCTTAGTTAAAGTCTCTGGAATTTCAGCTTATTTCCTAGATAATTTGGCGCTTGAAATGTTCTCTAAGTTCCCCGCGTAGAATAGGCTTTTATCAATGTTTATTTTTCATGATAAAAGTTTTCCGAAAGTATTGGCTAAGTATGCAATCAGCTGCGTAAGAGGGAGTGAAAAAACAGCGGCACAGATCAGCAAGATGCTGGATTAGTTTTTTCAGCCTTTTTTATATTACTCGATATCAAGTCTATACTTACATTGTAGGCAACTATGCCTACGGCCTTGATATATATATATATATATATATATATATATATATATATATATATATACAGGGTGTTCCACGAAAGGTGGACAAGTTCGATATTACGAAAAATACGCGTCCCAACAAAAAAATACTTCTGTCGTTTTCGTCCTGGGCCAGGGGCCTATTCAGGAAAATAATTAAAGTCCGAGATAATTAAATTGTTAATTATTTTAGCGTAGTTAACTTTTTTAATATTGTGTTTAAGGGAGCGGTTTATATTAGAAAATTTCTCAGCATCATCAAAAAACACTAAATCAACAAATTGCAGAACGATAGACGGCACGCGAAGCATTTTACGGATTTTTGAAAAACCGCACAAATTCGACGAGTTCTTAAGTTTCGGTTTGCTATCGGAGCGCATCTCGGCCCCGACGGCACTGCGCCCCGTGGGGAGATAGTGCAACAAAGCTCTGCTGCGCTGTCATCGCGCGACACAGTAGAGGCTGGTTGCACTATCTCTCCACGGGGCGCGGTGCCGTCGGGGCCGAGATGCTTTCCGATAGCAAACGGAAACTTAAAAACTCGTCGAATTTGTGCTGTTTTCAGGAAGCCGTAAAATTCTGCGCGTGCCTTCTATTGTTCTCCAATTTGTTGATTTAGTGTTTTTTGATGATGCTGAGAAATTTTCTACATGAAACCATGTTCTTAAACACAATATTAAAAAGTTAATTACGCAAAAATATTTAACTATTGAATTATCTCGGACTTTAATAATTTTCCTGAATAGGCCCCTGCCCCAGGACCAAAACGGCACAAGTCCTTTTTTGTTGCGACGCGTAGTTTTCGCAATATCGAATTTGTCCAACTTTCGTGAAACACCCTGTATATATATATATTTATATAAGGTATTAGATTAACAAGGTCATACTTATTGCAGAGAGCCTCGTTCCAAGATTCGAAATGTGCAATACCAAAAAATAAATAAGATGCCTCATGCACATCATCACGCACAAAAAAAAGAGGCGCCGGTTTCCGGCGCAGGATTCTGGCGGATCAAGAGCAAAATCAATGAGATTTTGCCTGCGATCTACTAGGGTCACCGACAATCTAAGAAAGTAAAAAATATGCTGTTTTTTAATATTTTGATAGTAATTTTAGATATGTTTAATACATGTTCGTCATTCATCAAACGGCTACACAAAGCTGAATTATCCACCGAATCTAAAGGTGAAGCTTCGACATTCGGCGGGAAGCCCAAGGCTAGGGCGCGGCCAATCCAAGATTTACATATCTGCGGCTTTGCCACGTACCGTCGTGTTTCTCGCTTGGTGCTGGACAAGGTTCCACAAAATACGGCGTAATAGACAAACCGTGCTCTATTATTTAACATTGGTTTTACGGTACGCTGTGCTTGATAGCAGGAAGCTACAGGACAGTGGACTCACTCTGGTTGGTGGTGTAGATGTGGTAGTTCCGTTTAGCCCTCGGGTCGAAGATGCTTCCCCCGACGCCCTGGGGGTCTTGAGAGCTCCGTTCTGCTTTCCGGGGCAGTTCGGAAATAATGAACGACTCCTCGGCGTACACTTTTCTCCCGGGAAGCTCTGCGTTCCACGAGGACAAAACAAAAAAAGAAAGCAAAACGGTTAAAGTAGGGACACCATTCTTTTACCGACTAAGTTGTTAAAAAAAATATCAGTTGCTTGATTATGCTGACAAAGACCAGGGAGCTCATAATGTGTTGTCAATGAGCTGGGTACATACTATATATGTCTGTGTGCTTCGACATCATATGACGTCATAGCGCCTATGACTTTGACGTCACACGATGTCATGGTTTCACGTGACGTCCCGGGGTCACATGGTATATTAACGTAACTGTTCTTCGTTCTGCTTCCTCATAGAATTTGGATCACATAATTATTCTGTATTGAAAAGAAAAATCATATAAGTTTGTGCGTTTGCATATGAAAGCGCGTGTGGGTGCGTATGGTCGCGCTCTAAAAGCGTGTAATAAGTGGCTCGTGTCAGACGATCTTCGAAAATGCATTCAGCAGAAGGGCACAGCAAGGGAGAATCACCTTTATGGCAAAGGTTGGTCAATCATGAAGTATAGCAACTATTTTCCAAAATTAAGCAGGAATATTTTTGGTTTTTCCAAAATACTGCAAACGAAGAATCATTCTGTGTTAAGTCGTGGCATGAACGGAAGTATTCATTGCTAAATATGGCAGGAATTCAGCAGCCCGATACAGTTAGCGGAGAAAAGAGGGACACTGCGCGCCACCTTTAGCGCGAACACAACATTGGCGCCTGATTGCATTTTTATTCGAGAGGTTATGAGAACGCACAACAGTGTACACGCACCACACTATAGTATTTCTGATAACAGCGTTTAGATTCTTAAAAAGAAAAAAAAAACAATAAAAAAACGGCGACTGCATGTCTGCGTTAACGTTGTCGCACAATGTTTGACGTTACAATTACTTTCACAACTACTTTTCCCACTTCCCAAGACTCTAAAAAATTTTTTTTATCGGAAACCTCGTTGCCAAGCTTAAAACATATTGTGACACGGTATGCACTAGCGAGAGCTCGACGTCTCAACCAAGCACTCGTCAAAATTAGTTGAGATCGTTGTTCATTCAAGAGCTTTGATTTACACACTCTTCGGGAAAGTTGGCGAGATCTGTGGCAGGTGACTTTTCCGTTGACGGACCAATTTCGAGCTGTAAGACGCAACATAAATATTAAAACAAAACTGCGTGCCTTGACCATCGGAGTCCGAAGAGGTTTGCAGAGAACCAGCAAGTTCCGACAAAATCAGTAATTCCCAAAGTACATTCGTGCCAGCAAGAACAAGAGAAGCGCCGCGTGCAGTCTCGTCCCCAGCAACTGCAGTTTTTGCTCATCGAAAAAGGTTTTACAACTCTATTCAACGCACCAACTTCGGAGATGGTACAGCCCAGCCTACGTCTACCGTAGAACGTATTCCCATTCAAATCGCGATCCTAAAAAACAAAAGTAAATTTCACCAGGATTTGTCGTTTTTAAAGGGTATACCGTATAACTAGCGGGCCTTCGCAGGGGGCCCACTGAAAATCGACAAAGTGGCACTCGTACCTTGTGGGGTATTTAACATCTTAAGGAACTCAGAGCATGAGAAGCCCAAAGCATCCTGTTATCGAGCCGAATCTAATAATATTGATGCATTAGACAATAAGAAACCTGAAGAGCGATTAAAGATCAGTAACAATCATGAACAAAATGAGCCACTCTTTGGGATTCTTAAGATGTCAGTGAATACACTGTGTTCTTTTTTTTTCTTTTTTTCTAAGAATATTGTTTTGTTTAATGCTGCGTGAGTTAGACACTCAGTGTGGTCTTTTCAAATAAGTTATAGTGCCAAGTAGTCAATATGTTCAAGATGTAATGCAAGCAAAGTAGTTCACTGCTTACTTTGTTTTAATTAGACGTTTTTGGGCACACGTTTATATATAAAAGAAACAAAAAAAAACGAAGACAGCTTCGTCTTGCGTGTTTCTGTCTTCACTTCGTCATTTGAACTGTTTTATCAACTGTAATTCAATCATTGTTCAAAGCCGGCCCAATTTTTTTAATAACAATGCCGTATCGAGCGCGCAGATTGAGTCATTCATTGTCACATTTTGTTCTGGAAAAATCGGTCGATACCGAAATTAAACGCGCGATGCCCGCCGGAAGGGCAACCCTTTTTTGATGCTGGATTGTCACGTGTTGAAAACAAAATTTGCGTCACTTTGCGTCAGGGCGCGTATAAACATTGACATTTTGTTGACAAGTTTATGTTCAGCTTTTTCTTGTTGTTTTTTTAGGCTTACTAGTTCCCTCGATTAAAACGTTTTTCAGTGATATCGCACCGCAAAGCAAAACAACTTTTCCCGGCGGATATGGTGGCTTATCGCTATAGTTTGCCAATCACAGACCACCGACTCGAATTTGCTCCGGGCCACAATGACGCAAAATAGTGGCGCAAATTTCCACTTTAACACGCGACACTACGATGTAAAACGAGGATTGTCCGTTCGACGGGCATAGCGCGTTTTGTTTTGGTAACGACAAATTTCCCGAACAGAAACAATTCGACACTCAATAAATCAAACTGCGTGCTCAATCAAAAATTAAAAAAAAAAAAAAAAAACTGGGCTGGTTTTAAGCATTGATTGCCTCTTTTTTAAATACAAACATGTACCCTACAGCGTTTCATTAAAAAAAGTTTAATGATAGGTTTATGTTAATTCGTTATCCCTGAGTAGCGTTCTTCATTGAACATAATGCCGGCCCGGCTGAATAACGAACTTGCTCTCCGCAAGTATGTTATTCAGACCGTGATATAGTCTTTATTAAGTAAACATGATGTTTGTTTATTTTTTTAGGAAAATCTGATTTTGATTGAAAACAAAAAGACTTTATACACTTCGTTTCACATGAATGTATACCGCCGCCAACACCACCATCTAACGGAGCCGATCCAGCGATGCAAAAAGTACATCGTCACAACGCTTGCCTTCTTATTCGTTTTGCTATCACAAGCTAAATCAATCACGCAAAGTAAATACTCCATGATCCTTTTTTGCGCGTGATTAATTTAGCTAATGACGTCATCGCAGTGAGATCAAGCGACAACGCTGATTGGATACGAGTGCTGCCTCAGTGCTCGGATGGGCCTCGTGTCCAACCAACGCGTCCAAGGACGCCGGTTGTCGGGCTCGGGCCCAATTGCAGAGTCGGCGCCATCCCCGTTCGTGAAGGCGTTCGACGGAAAAAGTGTGGGGCGTTTGGAGGCCTTCATTATTCTAGATGATGTTGTTCATGACGGTGTCTTTGACGCGTCTTAATATGCTTTTTACAGCTTCCAGTTGAGGGCAGACTTTCGAAATGGATCCGTAGAGAATACACGTGGATTTACTCAAGGTATGTAAAGCACTACGTATATAAAAGAAAAAAAAAAAAAAAACGGAACAAGTTTTATATTTTTTAGAGGCTCACGTGGTGTGTTTTAGACGTGCAGCAGTCGCAACAGTGAACACAATGAGGGTGTTTCATTCGGAATGAAAATATGATTCTGCACAAGGCGTATCGTAAGTCATTATGGTTTTGGGATTTAATTACAGGCGAAATGATGAAGAGGCAGATGTAGAGATATGATACAAAACGCTAGGGGTCGCTTCTTATCAGTCCTGACAAATACCAACGTGTAATTTAAGCAATAATAAAGATTCTGCGCAGGACGCGTGAATAACCTTCGCTGTGTAATACTAACTTGGCCACATTTCATCGAACCTAAGAGTGTCGTGAATGTTTTATGCGAGCACATTAAAAGTCGAGCGTTCTGCACATAATAATTTCTCGTGAAATATCTAGAAAAGTGTTCGCTATACAAAGGATATCTCAGAGATGTCTTAAAACGTTGATGCTTCTTTTTCCATGAAAGATGGACGGCTCCATCTCCACTATCACTCCGCGCGTGGAAAAGCAGTGACTTCTGTGTCGATTTCCGCCAAATTATCCTGGCTCTGAACTTAGAAGCCAGGAAGACACCAAAGTCGATGCGAGCTTGCCAGCTTCTGCAGTTTCATTCATGAACGATAAACACCGCAACATGAAATAGAGAAGAGGTGGAGTTGTTTCGGGCTTGGCGTATGTCTGAAACTGTTCGACCCTCCGATTTTCAAATTAATTATTGATTGAAAATAACTTCTTTTCTGGAGCACGCTTTGGCCTTCTACCGCCATTTTTTTTGTCTTTGTTGTGTAGATTGTGCGAGTGCAAGATCATCATAGCTGCCCAAAATAAAAGCGGCTCTTTCACATTAAATGTTTGCTCGATTTTATTTCGTTGTGTCTCTGGTTGGGTGTTCGGAAATGCGGCTCCCGAACTATTGACCCAAACCGTGTTTGAGAACTAAAAAGAGAAAAAAAGGGAGGAGGGGGGAGGGGGGGGGGGGGGGGGTGTTGCAACTAAAGAAAAACAGTAACTGTGTTTAAAATTAAAATTACCTTGTTATTATAACAAACTTTTTCAAACACGTTTTGTAGTGTGTTCGAGTGGAGGGGTAAGTTGGAGCTTTTTTCTTCAGACATTGTCAGGGTGCACCAGTGTTTCGTAATTAAAAAGAGCTGAAACTTCAGGATGCATTTGAGTCTATATTTAATTACAGAATTAAACGTCCTGCTGACTTCACTAGGTGTTTGAGTTTAAGATATTAATCGCTTAAAGGCTGTTACAGTGTTATCTGATTTGACAGCTTTCATATATCGACTCTAAAATGCAGTTTCTGGTTTTAGACGGTTCTGAATATAGCTAGTGTTATTTAATGAATATTTAAAGTAAAGTTTGCGCGAATTAGTTGTAAACATTATCAGTCACTTTTACCTTTAATTAATATTTTGCCACATATTACATTTCATAGTGCATATCTAGACATAATAATACTAATGACTGCTCAATGACTATTTAACTTAATTGAATGTTCGACGCAAAACAACTTCAGCTCTATTTTTTTTCTTTTAACGATTTTTATGTTATTGGCCGTTTCTTACCAATTCATTTGACTTTGATGCTCTAAAACGCAAGGCGCGCTGCCCCGACGGAGGATTAACTCAAAGAGCACGTGTCGGAAATCTAACCTTCTATTAGAGCGAAAATGTTTCCGTGGAGCCCTCTTATATTATTTTTGTTTATTTACTCGTTACCTACACTCCGCCTAGGGGCACTAGGGGCACGTAGATGTAAACACAACAAATACACAAACTAAAATGTAAAAAAATATCAATACAGGGTGACATCTGTTACAAATTATACAATGCGCAATCACAAAAAAAGAAAAAAAAATTTACACAAGATACACGTGTCTACTATACGCTGCTAACATTAGCTCAATGGAAAACAATATATTAGTCACGGATCATTTTTGTGTAAGTTACGAATTAAGAGACAATCAAAAGTTTCATCCGATGCCGAAACCACAGCTGCGGGGAGTCTATTCCACTGATTTAATGTTCATGGGAAAAATGACGATTGAAAAACAGATGTGCGGCATGCTATTTCCAGTATTTTCTTCTAGTGGTCTATCTCTGGGAAGTAAAAGTAGGGGTTTTTAGGTAGATGTTCCTATCACTGCCGGTACGTTCACGAATCACTTTATTCAGAAAATAGTACCTTGATAACCTCCGGCAAAGTTCGAGCGACTACCATGACGATGACTTTTTTAATGCCGTGACACTAATATCAATATGATAAGAGTTAGTAACAAAACGGGCAGAGCGATATTGGATGGCCTCAAGTTTATTAATTAAGGCTTTAGTGTTGGAATCCCATACTACAGCAGCATATTCTAAGAGGGAACGTAGGTTAGAAATATATATTATTTGTTTGCGTCACGTGGTGAGTGTTTAAAGTTTCTCTATATAAAGTTAAGTGCACGTCCTGCTTTCACCGGTATAAATTCAACAAGACTACTCCACGTTAGGTTCGATGAAAAAATAACACCCAAATACTTCACATCCTTCGCCAAGGTAATATGATTTGCATCCAGATGGTAATTAGTCTGTATGTTTAGACGCTTTCTGCTAGAGCGGATGCAATGCCACTTTGCGAAATTCAGTTTCATTTTTAATTTTGTTGCACCATGTGAGAAATTGATAAAAATCAGATTGTAAAGCGGCAGCATCGTCCTGGTTATTTATATCCCTGTATAACACCCAATCATCTGCATATAATCTTATTTTGAAGGATGTTCCGTAGCCTATATCATTTATATAGGTTAAAAACAGAAGCGCACCACGCGCGGATTCTTGGGGAACACCCGACGTTACTGAAACAAAGTAAGATTCTGAGCCATGGATGACTACTTTTTGGGAGCGACCGGTAAGATAGTCTGCTATCCAACCAAGGTGAAAAGGTGAAAAGGACTTTTCACGTTTTCGACAAGGACTTTTCACGACGATTTTACCGCTCGACAAGGACTTTTCACGAGGTGAAAAGTCCTCGTCGAGCCAAATTTTATCCGGTCCGTGGGTCTTAAATTTGAGAGCGTTCTTTTGTGGAGCGACCTTGTCACGATAATCAACTAGTTTAACTATGACAGGTAGTACATAGCTCAGGCGGCTACCGTAATCACTTCTGTAAACGCGTTCAATAACACTTACTTAAACACCAAGTAGATTAGAAAAAGAAAATGTTCTTCACACGAGATTCGAGTTGACCTTGAAAACCGTCCTCAGTTTCACCGAACCCTTCTATTGTAAGGTGAAACATATTTCCGATAACTCGCCGGATGGTGAGTTGGAGTCGCCGAGCTAACCTTTTTCGGAGGCGGTGTCGGCAACGGGTGCCTGCTTCCTCCAGTAAAAGTAGAGGAACACCAGGACGAGGAGCACTACCAAGGCCGAGAGCAGCGCAGGGACGATGAACACCAGGTTCTCCTGGAGCGGGAACCGGAAGCCGCCGGAACTGCCGGACATTGGCTCGGTTTTCGTCTCTGAAAAAGCGAACGGCAGAAGAAAGAAGTAGGAAATGGTGAATAATTCACACACGCAAAAAAAAAGGTATATTCTTACACCTCTTGTCACATATCATACACCCAAAATTTTCATTTCGAAGTACAGCGCACTGACTTTGAACAGACGCTACCAAATCTCACGACCGGCTTGATAGCCGAGTTGTACAACTTGTTAAAATAGCTCATGTACATGTGACGGACTGTAAGGAAAAAAAAATCTCTTTTGGCCCTACTGCAAAGCCTCAATGTTTCTTTCCTGTAGTCTTTGATACGCACTTTAGCTGTTTAATATGTTATATCCCACCGTCATCAATCCGCTCGTAAACGTTGGGGCCGTCAGTTTGACGTCAATGCGCTGTACACCGAACTGAAGTTTTGCGATGTCCCTTACCTTAAGTGGTACAGTAATCGATATAGTTAAGAACCACAAAACGCTGGGCGTAATTTTCTCTGAGCATCTGTCCTGGGGTCGCCATATTGTTAATTTGGTCAGCAGGCTGTGCAGAGTCATTGGCGTTATTAGAGGATGCCGCTCAATATTGCCTGTTAACATTAAACTCATGATTTATCATGCCCTTTCCGGTCTCATATAAATTATTGTCACCTCGTGTGGGGCACAACAACTTCGAATTTGAACAAAATACTGTTACTTCAAAAAAAGATACTACGCATCATCGCGGATGTACACTGCCTATATCACACTAAACCGCTGTTCAAAAAAATTCAAGATTATTCCCATTACAAAAATGCACGTGTATCGTCTTTCGTGTGCTTTCTTTTTCGGAACAAAGGAATTCATTGAATATCTTTGGCGCACCTTAGACTTGAATAAAAAGGAATTCTCGATCAGTATGAGCTGCTCTGAGATATGGTATGTTCCTCATTTCCGCACGAATCATGCTTTACAATCCCTTCGCCATATATTACCTTCTCTACTCAACAGGTGCATTTAGAAAACATAGATATATACTCTCTGACTAGAGCTGAATTGTGTATGTGTTTTATCTAATGCGGATGTCTCTTTATGACATTTTTCTTTTTCTCGCTTTTGCATAATATACTTGTTTCTGAACGTTCCTGTGCTCCCACTTGTTTACTCTATTTATTGTTACTTAAGTATAGAGTTTCTCTTACAAAGTACATGTATAGTTTGTAAGAGAAACTCTATATGCTGTATAACGAGGCTTTTCTATGTATAACACTTTTCAGCCAGATTGTTATTTTTGTATTGCTTTAGGGCAACAGACCCAGTCCAGTTGCCATAAGGTAGATTTTTGTCTGGAAACCCGCCAGAATAAATTTCTGGAAATAAAGGTTTCAGATTTCAGATTTCAAATCGCCACACCCTTTTTTTAGAACGTTGGCGGTGTCCATGGCGACAGGTGTCCCCAGTGCTTTACCAAAGAGCGCCCTTACTAAGCGAAAAAGCAGGTGAATAATATCAGGAAGGTCCGTCACAATCTAGTATAGAGCTGGCGAATCCCAAAAAACGAGACCCGAAACCAAGGAAAGGAGAAAAGACAAACACATAAAATAGAGAGAGAGAAACACAACGCTCAGTCATTATGCTATGACATTTTGTACGCGTTACAAAATGTTACGTCCGTGTGTCACAATCCTTACAACTCTGTGAGAGAAATACATTAAATATTTTTTTTTTAAAGTGTGTGCGACTACCGGTCCGATTCAAATGGCACTCGGCCCTTCATAACCTTGACAGTGCAAGCGAAAGTCTCGGCAACCGTTTTTTCTTCCGTGTGAAACTAAGCAATGACACTATGCTATTCGATGCGAACCGCAATTCTGCACCTCGATTTTTTTTATTTATAAATGTGCATTCACTATTATTACTAGAGGTCATGCGCAGGAATGGGAGTATGGAATGGGGGGACGGCCATTTCTTAGACGATAGAAATGCAGTAAGGAAGAAGCAATTTACTTATTATCAGCACGTAGCCTCCCTTTTTGCCTTACCTTAAGTGATAGCGCAGGCGACTCTAATAGCTAATGTGGCCTATAAGGCAGCGCTAAAAATGCAGCGTCACGATGATCACCCTCATTCCAGGCGTGTGATATTACCAGCAAAACCGGTCACTCCCTTCGACTGCTCTAATCTGGTTACAACCGAGTGCGTTGTACAGCCTTGTGATCTCTTAGGTCGAAAGTAGAGTCGTATATGAAGAGAGTTTGGCGTTTCATTGGGAAGTATAGGAGGCAAATGAGCTGGGCGTGTTCCAGGGAGTCTTCAAATTCGAATATGGCCAACGAGAAGCCCGAAATAATACCCTGGTGGTAGTCGCGAGAAACACAATTAATAAGTGCGTCGGAGCAACTCTCGCTGACTAAAAATATGGTGCCCGTGATGTTTCAATCACAGTCATCCAAAATCACGGTGGAAAAGCGCGACTTGCGGAACGATGGACATAATCCGTACGCCAGGCGCTGAAGGCCGGGAATCTGCCGTCCGAGCGGTGACACTTTGTCCGAGCAAGACAGAGTTCGAACGGGACATTCGTTTCTTACATCTTTTTGTATGATCATGATCGAACCGTTACGTATACCATATTTTCAACAATAAAGAGTTACTATATTTAGCCCTTATTCTCTTATTTAAACTGTTTCTCACTACAACCGAGAGAGGATTCTTAACGGCTTCTGGTTGGCGAAGAGAGCATGCCAAGCCCTCTAACTGCGTCTGGTGCACGCCCTGGTTCTGCCCGCTCCTCCCATTTTGACCAAATTCTGCCTAAACACGGCTCTGGTCGAGAATAAACACCCTCTACCCCCGGAAAGTGGCGCCAATCTTTGAACAATCCGCCGCGTACAGTATTGGCCAGCCGTCATGTGACATCCCGCTTTTGGTTTTGGACTTCCGGTCGCCATTACTTTCCCAAGCTGTTGTTACTCCGCAGCTAAAGGGCTGCCGCGCCTGTGGGAAAGTCGGCCAGAAAGCCTTTCAGTGTTCTCTCTGAAACGGAAAATTAACCTCGGAGGAAGATCTTGCTCGACCGAGTCAGTTGAAAATATTTCAACCCGGCGAGAGCCGCAACGTTATGCGATGTAGGTGCTCTGTTTAAAGTTCACCAGAGTACAAAAATACAGCTGTTTAGAGTGACTATGCACTCCATTCCACCGTACGAGCGAGCGATGTAATGGCGATCATAACACTGCCGACTTGGCACGCACGGACGCCCGTGCCGCGGAGGAAGCATCGTTCAAAATTGCCTCCTCGTACTCGTGCTTGGAGCATCGGCGTCGCTCCCACTTACGGGTCCGTGCGGAGTACGCTGGCTCGTCAAGTGTGGCGTACGTGCTCGCGTATCACGTGCTTTTTCTCACGAAAATCATAAGCTTGCAACACTCTCGCGGCCGCGGACGCGGGCGTGTGAATACATCTATACCCCGATTCAACATGAGCGCGAGCGAAGCCATTGCGACAAGAACGATTATGTTTTCTCTCCACACATTAAACATAAGTAGTGAATCATCTGAAATCGTGGAGAATATAATTGCAATTTGGTGTGTTTGATATGATGAATAAAACCGATTCGGGATTCCTGTGATGCCCAAAGGAGTGACAGGTACCCACGAGACACGGACCGATAATCCAACTCGGTATGAACGATTGGGACGATTATCCGCAGCACTTTTGGAATCCATGGTTGGACAAACAGATCTAGAGCGCCTTTAGGGCGGTCGAATGCCAATGCGGGCTCTAAATGAGGCCATTGCCAAACCTATATGGAGAGAAAAGTCCACAAGACCGGCATGTACCGCTTCAGCTGACCGCGATGTCGAGACGCTTGAGAACACCCAGAGGGCGTCGTCGTCGCAAACCGGAAGTTAGAAGTGGGATAAGGATGGTTTTTATGAGGAGAAGGAAACAGAATGCGCCACTTTTCCCAGATACAGGGGCTTTAGTGGAGAGATCACACTGGCGCCATCTTTCGAGTAGTCCTTTATTAATCGTGATTTCCGTATACCTTTTTTTTTGTTTTTTTTTGTCGCGCATTAAGTTTGTATTAGGGGCTTCAAAAACTTTTGAGAATATTATAAATGACCCCTTCCCATAAATAGAACGCACATTTGAATTAGAAAATACTGAAAAACAATTTAGCCTAGTGAATTGCATTTCCAGGGCAACCTCAATAATGGAGACCGCGTGCCAGGGTCTTCTCTCGGCGTACGAGGCCGCAAGAAAGCACAAGGCAAAGCAATGCACTCGGTTGTTATCAAACGTTAAGTGTGTGAGCTAGCCTTTATGGTAAATCAAATCATATCAATTTTGAGAAAGTTTTCCTATGACCATCAAAGGTGTCTAAGCGGTCAGCGGCTGTACCTACTTGGAATAGAACTGGTCGACATAACACAGCTACGATAAGGGGTGAAATGAAGGGGAAGAGGAAGGGGGTTTCGTGGGCAGGTGCAGAGCGCGGAAAGTTTCCTCAGCAAAAAAAAACAACAAAAAAACAAAACAAGTAAGGGTGTTCTAGTTTGAGCCAGCCCTCAAAATGTCGACACTTTTCGCCGCTCGACTGCGACTGTGCTCTTGCTCTTCTGGGCGTCAGGCGCACAGCGTGATGAATGACACGCTCGCGGAGCTTGCACCCAGGCTTCATCGACCGAGGGGACGTAGTCTCGACAGTCTCGTCGAGAAGGACAGTGCGACGAAGTGGGAGAGGGGACTGCACGGTGGCTGATTATGTTTTATGCGGGACCGCTGACGTTGAAAAAGACCACGTTGTTTGGTAAAGTTTGGAAGAGTTTTTTTCTTCTTCTTTTTTTTTTTACGAATTTTTGTTTTAAGCATATGGCATGGGGGTTCGGCTGTCTTTGATTTATCTTTTTGTCTTATAGTTGTTAGTGAGTGCGTTGGTAATGCCTTGTTGTAAGGTTTCGTAGCGCAAACATACCAGAATATTTTATGAAATGTCGGCTTCATGATTGTTCCTGTGGTGGTGTCAGTTCTTAGAGACGAGTTGGAAGTTGCTTTTGTAAGCCTATAGGGCGCATAATAGCGGATTATTTACCCGTGTGTATTTTTTTTTTTGAGGGGGGGGGGGCAGATTTTTAGAGACCCTAGAGACAAAACGTGGTTAAATTAAGTGTAGTGGTGTCCATAGACAACGAACAATATGTGGCTCATTGTTTATTTCTTTATTTATTTGGAAATACTACTGGCTCCACTCAAGGAGCCTTAGTAGGAGTGGGTACACCATACGACATAAGGGTAGAGTCAAAAATAGAAACAAAAGAGGAAAAACTCATGTAAGTAAAACTTCCACAGCAGTAAAGGAATTTTCAACCGGTGTTAATACGACAATGTCGTTTGATAGCGAATTACAATCTTGGATTGTCCGACGAAAGAAAGAATATCTAAAACTGGTCTTTCTTAAACATGCGTTGTTTTAACGCTGTAGTATGGTTTAGGTGTTTTGACCTTGTCGATAATGGTTCTAAATTTGAATAGTGCAGTTAAGAATTCTATAGAGTACTTTTAATCTCTCAATTTTTGGTCTTGTTTGCAACCGCAGAAGCTGCGCCCTAGAAGCAGTTCTGTAGATGAGGTTCCTGCGCGCAAAATAATAAAAATAAACCGAGCAGCTAGTTTCTTAATACTTTCAAACCTGGGAATACCATTTTTCGCGTAAATGTGCCACACTAAGCTGGCGTATTCGAACACGGGTCTAACAAAACCTTTATAGAAAATAAGTTTAGCATCTGAATCAGAAAATTTTAATTTACTTCTCAACGCTAACAAAAGGCCCCTCGCTTTATCAACAGTCGCTTCCAAGTGCCGGTTTCAGTTGAGTTTACTTTGCGAAACGGTATTATTTACGGGGACGTGACCAAGACCGCGAATAAAACATAATTATGATGCGTGCTTACGATCATAACATCCGCCCGCATCACTGACAGGGAGTTCGCAAAGCGAAACTAATGTATCACTAGCGCTTCATTAAAAAAAAGTGTACCCATAACTTTAAGCTTGTTTGTGGCGCGCAGTAAATTCTTGTTGAAGCGAACTGTCGTGGCGTGCTGGACATTAAGTGGTTACGAGAGAGCGCCACAAACTTGTGAAACGAAGATAAATGACAGCCCGAGTTGAAGCAGCAGAAGTTTTTGTGGAAGTTCATTTTATCGTTGCTTTTCTGAAAAGACGAAAACAAGTGAGTGTACCACAATTTTCGCGCCGAGTATGATGAATTGCGCGCCCATGAATCGATTTGTAATTAGGCTTAGAGGTCTCATCGTGATACAGCGTCAGGACTTAGGCACTAAGGCGTTCAGGTGAGGTTTATATTTTCATAGATCGTTGCTACATACTTTAATCTGAATTGAACGCGTCTGACGTTGATAAATGTCATTTAAAAGTTCAAAATAAAAACTAAAATAACAAAAACCATTCTGTGCCTCCAGTTTACTTACGGAGGTTTCAAACACACACTGCAGTGTCATATCACGGCGATATGCAGCAAGCACTTCCAAAGAAGCATCACTAGTATGCTGTTTTAAAACTAGACTCAGCACGTAGTACATGCTCAAAAGCAGAACTTTAATGCTTTGCGGACTACCCACATCTGGGAACCTTAGAAATATTTTTTTAAAGATCTGGTATTATGACAACAGGCGCCAAATTTTCTTATTGGTAGGGTGTGTTAATGATGATTTATGTATGAAGCAAGCTCCTTTTTACGTTAGTAAACCAACCGTTTCTCAAGTTGTAATGTGTACACTTTTTATGTACGGACCATGCACCAGGTGTAAACTATCTAAAACGCAATTTTTTTTTAACCGATAGCGGTTTTTGTTGTTGACAGACCAGGAAATGCAGTAAATATAAATTTAAGACACTCCAATGAAGTTACCATCTCCCGCAAACACTTCCCTCTCTTTCGGGCCAATAAGAACAAAGATTCCATTAAGGCTATTAAGTCACCCTGCAACAGTTATGTTTTGACCAGCGATATCAAACGCGCATTTGTTCTAGAACAAAATCACGCCCATTCAATAGGCCAAAGTGTGGCTACCGTTGGCACGACAAGTTTAAACAGCTGCTCGACTCACTCGTCGCTTTTGGAGAGAGGGTGACGAAGTCGTACTCTGCCCTCGTTGCCCCGGCATCGTTGTGAGCCACCACGCTCAACTCGTACACCTGGGAGAAAGGGTTGAGCGAGGGGGGGGGGGGGGGGAGAATGGAACGAGCATTGCTAACACAGTAGGAGCTTTCTGCGCTCGCAATTAAAAATCACTAGGACGTTCGACGTGTAATTTGTATGTAAATAGGTGATCAAAGTTAAAGAAATTATTAAAAACAATAGGAGTATTACGCGTTTATCTTGAATCAGCTTGAGGGCTGCTCATTACCGCCTATCGCTAAATTAAACAAGAATACGCATAGAAATTGTATATATTCGCTGTGTTTTTTGGTATCTTAGAAACTTTAAGCTAGTGCATTTTGATGACTTGAGATATAAATATCGACTGGACTTGAGATTTATATATACAGAACAAAGTGTGAAGACGTGTTTCTGGATATATAAATGAGCGTCCGGCAGAAGTTGAAAAATAGGCTTTCACCATCGTCAGATTATTACATCTTGAACTCAGGACAGTCGGTAGTAAAATCACCAAGCCGGTCCGTCTTTGTGGCCCATAACAACAAGCTAGTTAAAGTCGACAGTCTTGGTGAACTGTGCCCAAAGTTAAATATTTCATAAATATGCGGCTGACGTAGCCATGGAAGCTAGTATAGAAAATGTATCTTTAGCGTGCGCTGATAACGCAGGTGGCTGACAGGGTGGTAAAGTTACATTCTCCCCCACGGGCTCTAAAAGTTATTATTAACATTCGTTTTAAGTGCAACAACGACACAAAGATTAATAGGCAACTTTTAGAGCCCATAGGAAGATCTCGAAAGAGCGCAAGCACCACGTGATTGACCCGTATGCCGGTCAGAAATTGATGACGAAAATAAAATCCCTGGAGAAGGGATTATTTTCGTCATTCTCGTCCAGCTCGCTTGCACTTTTGCATTTAATTGCATTATAATCAGAAATTGATGGCGGCGGCGCGCCGGAGTATTTTTTTCCGGGGGCGGTGCGGAGAAAAGTTGCTAAGGAATTATGATTATAACTCTTTTAGGATTTTTTTTTTCTTTTTCGTGTGAATAGGATTTGTGAAGGCTTTTTATTTTTTTTATTTAAAAGAATATTACGAAATTATTTCTGAGTATCAATAAAAAGAATGCGTTCAGCCGGGTGCGCCACGCTCATCGGTTGTCGGCGTCGTCATGGTAAGGGTTCTGGGAAATTCAGCGGCGGCGGTGAACGGCTCAGTCGTAATGTGCGGGGGCGTCGGCGCACAGATCTACCACGTGACTAGTGGCTAGTCACGTGACGGGCTAGTATCCACTTTTCCTCGTGCTCCCGCGGGCGCCAACTATAAATTCTTTTAGCGGCGTAGATATAGCTCTAACTTTTTTTTTTCGTTGTTTGTTGTAAATTCATTTTATGAAATCCTTTTCCCATCCAGACTGCGTATTTTTTTTTTTTTACTTTGCATATGTTTTTAAGGCGTTTAAGTAACATTAATAGCCACAATGTTCTCTGTGAGTAGCCCAGCTGTATTTAAATGGGACGGATAAACTTGACGCGGAAGCTACTTCTGGGCTAGTACGCCATTTTAACTCAATCGTCCCATCTCGGAAACAAAGAAAACAGGCAGCCTTCACGTACCTTGCCCGGTGCGAGTCCCGTGAGCAGGTGTTCTCCCTGGGGTGGAGGCGCCACGGTCTGTGCCACGGCAGCCCAGGCCGGCTCCAGCTTCTGGCGGTACTGGAGCACGAAGCGGTCGACGGGGCAGCCGCCGTCGCCCCAGCGGCCGAGTCGGAGCAGCGCACTCGTCTTGTTGGCCACGATCAGGCCTTCTTTACTCGGGGCAACGGGCGCTGCGTTACATATTGGTCTGTTTCGTTCGTGGCAACAGTAAGTAGTGGAGGCATTTTCAAAAGTAAATTAATGATTCCGTCTGAAATTAGTCGCGCCATGAATGTATTTGGATAGATATTACTGGACTAGCTAAATCTTGTGGGAAAGTTGCCTTGCTGCGTGCCGTACCCGGAGGAACAACACACAGCGAGGATTTCGGAAAATGTAGAACTGCATTTATTAGTAAAGTTCAAGCATAAAGTTAGTATTAACAAAGGTCATCGGTCGACACCCCCGCAGCGTGTACCTTCCACGGCAGGCCCCGCTTCTCTTACCCGTGGTCGGCGTCGCCGCTGCTGCTTTTATCAGTTCTTTCACTGGGGGTAACGCCCCCCGTACCCTCTAGGCACAGTGGCGCCCCCTATAGCGTCCACAATCTAAGGCCCCTTTCTTGCTAAAGGAAGAGGTACAAGATAGAGATGCCACGGCAAAACAGAAAGGCTGATGATCAAAGCGTTCGTCGTTCATTGAAGAACGAGTACTTGAATTGTATATGGATTAGTATACATACGTGGGATACGTCCTCCATAGACATAAAACCAGGGAGCCTGAAATCAGGGCAGTTACAAGACTAAAACAGCCACGGTTTTCACTTTAGTAATAATTCCCTTATTTTACTTGCTGTACTAAGAATTGTGTGTATTATGTTTGGTATGCCAATTTATGCAAACTTTAATCATCTACCTCATAGTTTGTGCGGAAAGGCGTCGAGATTTTTGGTTCAATTTTAAGTGTTTTCATGACTCTTTAGAGCAGTTTGTGGATTTTTGTGTTCCTTCGAATGTGGCCAACACGAGCTACATAACTCATCTTGCAATATTTTCCATGCTCTGCGCAACCTTAACGCTATTAAACACATAGCAATTTACTCAGTGTGTAGCAGTGTTGGGCAGAAATACTAAAAAAATGTATTTGGAAATACAAATACTGGGATACATTAAAATAGTAGCTAGAATACTGATACTGAAATATATCTGTAAAAGTGTATCGCGATGCTTATCGGAAATACATTTTAAATAGAGGCAAAAAGTATTTGGAAATACAAATACAGGAATACATCTCACGGAGGGCAGAAATACAAATACAGAAATACTGATACTGAAACACATTTGTCAAAGTTGTTTGATACGCCAAATGAGATGAAGCTTGAAGTTGGAGGTGGAAGTTTTTGATTCTGAAATTATTTTCCCATAGGCTTGGCACTTTGCCTTGAAGGTAGTGATTTTGGACTACGAGGAGTCTTCAATGGGTGCAAAAAAACGTTCCATCAAGGACTGACGGCGGTCCTTTCACTGACATCTTGTCTGTCTGACGAGGGATGCGAAAAGACTTCGACCTCTAAATAAATTCTATGTCATCCTAAATCCCATCAAAGCTTCACCACGCCCCTGTCCAATGAGGGCGCCCCTGTCAACATTTATCACATGACGTCACGGTGGAATGAACTGGTATTCTATATCTGTAGGTGGTGACCTTGAACATGAAATTTTACCAGGCTGCTGTATAAAAGGACAATACGTGCTTTTGTTGTAGGTTACCTCAGACCTGCCTCATTGAAGATCGTGCAGGCAGTGTCATTTGGAATTTTTGAGAATAGTGGACCACCTGAAGCATCCTGGAACACATGTCTTATCTTCTGTTACGATTGAAAAGACGATATGGTGGCACCCTTGTTGTGAAGGTCCTTCCTGCCGACCCTCCGTCACCGACGCATTGATTGCAGTCCAAGTTTCCTATTGCATACTCCAAACAGAGACCTCGTGGATTCCGACCTGACATTGCCGGCACAGGTGCGAGCTCTCCGAAAAACAGCGCGCTCGAGGCAAGTCGCAGGTGTGCGAAGTTTGGGTCGGCACAGCGAGGCCAGGTCTGTCCTCCTTCCTGGGCTTCGGATCACCAGAACAGCGGGTCACTCTCACGTCGGCTGATGACGTACCCCTGAGCCGTGCAATATTACGGGTGAAGCCACAGACGCATTCGAATATGTGTTGAACTTCACTGCGTAAGTCACCTTACTATTTCAAGTCAACCATCGCCAGGCTCGTGCTGCAACGGACTGCAACTCAGCTTTGCCGGCTGGGTGTACTGTGTACGCTAAGGCAAGAGAGACGGTTAGCAGCGGGCTTTGGATGCCAGCAAACAATGACTCAAGAAACCCCTACGTAAGGACCTGCGGCACAGGATGCTTCGACTCCACTCCTGGCATGCCACCTGGTTCGAGCCCCCGACAACGCAACACTTCTCAGAAGAGAGAAGAGCACGCATAGAAAAATAGTTTGGAGAATCGGAGGGGACCTTGGTCTGCATGGTAACAATGCCCCAGTATCTCCTTGACCCTAGTGCCCTCAGAAGTAAAAAACACACAAAAAAAACGTTCGGATTTGTGTTTTTTTTACGGGGGGGGGGGGGGGGCATTTCTCAAGAAATGTAACGAAATACATTTCACCCTGATTGTATCGCGATACGACGGAACATTCAAATTGTATTTTGATACAGGAATACAGATACTGGTGAAAAAAATGTATCGCGATTCAGACATACAGATACGAAATGTATTTCTGAAATACAATCGCGATACAAATGTATCGCGATACTGCCCAACTATGGTGTGTAGTCAGCTTTATGTTTTAAAAACAATTTCATTTTCTTCAACTGCTTGCAGGATACTTTTTCGGTAGTTTCTGAACAACATAAAAATACATCTGTTCGTTCATTATCAAAATCTTGAAATAATGATAGAATGAACGAAAAGCTTGTCTTAAATTCATTATGTGTGCGCTACCTCATTATTTATTTTGTTATTTATGTACGACGGAAACAGGCGATTAAAAAATTAATAATCATTTTAATACCTCTGGTCGGTGTGTGCGTAGTTGCATAAGGAACAATTTTTAATTTTGTTCTTATTCATATAATATTAACGTTTTTAATGCTAAGTTCACTTCGTTGAAGCGTTCAGGAAATATATTATTCCTTTTCTAAAGCACTATGAAGAGGCACCCACAGCTCAAGAGTGCAAGAGATAATACTTGGATGAAAAAATGCGTAAATTAATAAATTAATTTACTGATGTTTTTATTACTTTGAGAGCGTTTCACAACTTAATGACCTTTTTTTTTTAGTGTGCGTCCAAACAGCTGTAAAATAACAAAACCCCTCTAATCTCAAGTAAGGGCTCTCACTACTCGTTGAAAGTAACTATTTGAGGCAAGCTTTATTGGCCCTCCCTAAAAAACATAATATTAAAATATTTGCATATATTTAACCATTTTAAAACTAAATGAATAAAAATAACTGTATTGTTTATATTGAAAATATTACAGTTCACAGTCCTTTGAGGTTCATCTAGTAGATGCTTAGTCTCCTTTAACTTAGTTTGGCCCCATTTACCCTAAATATACAGTTGTTTTGTAGGATTTACGCATTTGTTTAGAAAACGCCGTTAAAGCTACACTCATCTCGTTCATGCATGTGAGCTAAACAGCCAGGGGAAAATAACATAGAGGCGCTAATCGTCAAGATAAGCCAGCTAGTTAACTCAATATGTTCATTAAGTTTTTAATTAGTAAGAAGAAACATATGAGTTAAAAAAAAGCTTGCCAAGTGTCATTGAAAACCACTAAATCAGTCAATATTAGAAAAAGACTTGAAGCACGTAGGAAGCACGGTGGAGCGCTATGGAGCACGGCGAAGCATGGTGGAGCGTCACGTCCCACGCGTCACGCGCGGGACGTGACGTCATGTAAATTTATATGACTTCACGTCCCGCACGGGCGCTGATTGGATGCAAGGGCCGCGTCAGCGTTCGCATGGGGCTCGTTTCTTATCATAGTCCCACGCGAACGCTGACGCGGCACTCGTATCCAATCAGCTGCCGCGCGGGACCCCGGACGTGACGTCATGTGACGTAGCGTGCAGGCTCTAGAGCTGTCTAGGAGGTGTTGGCTGCTTCTACGTCTCTTAAGGCTCGTCCACACAGTTGCGTTTGACTGTGTTAAGACTGCTTGCGTCGAGCTGTTGCTATGGCGACCCCTACGACGAGAAAATGGGGACGCGCTGTGCGGTACGACGCAACGCAGCGCAGTGCAGTAGCCGCAACTGCGTGAACGTGCCTTTATCATCTGTGTTTTTGTCACTGCCAGCTAGCTTCTACTTGTCGCACGAGTGGTAAGTTTTGCGCAGTACTATGCTTCCCCCCACGAGCTCAAAGTATTTCTAGCCTTTACTGATATAGTTGTTTTTGTTGAAGCTCAGCTAGTTTATAATTTAAACCATATGTTTATTTTCACTAACTAAAAAGATAGTTGAACAATTTTCGTTAATTAGCCAACTCACTCTGACGATTAGTTTGTATATTATGTCCCCTGGCTGTATAACTCACCAGCACAAACCTCAAGTGTCCCTATCAAGGCATTGTTAAAACATATCCACAAATACAAAACAACAACAACATTACTCATTTTTTATGTCAGTACCAGTTCATGCAACTAATACCATCTTTTTTATTTCAATTACTTGTTTAAAAGGCTTATGGTCTCAGTCCTTCTCGGGGATATTTAAATAACGAAACGTGCATAGCAATATGTTAGAATAGGAATAAAATTTGTAGCAGAGTCTGAAGTACAACGAGTACGTGTACGAGGAAAATAAATGAAACATCTCAAAAGAAAAAGAAACACAGTGGGAATTGGAAAACTCGCACAAACACAATGCTGCATTCGTGCGTTTTCTACTCATAGCTGCGTCCTTTTTTGCATTGTATTATTATTATTTTTTTATAAAATTGTTCTTACAATATTTCCCTGCGCTTTGGACGAAAAAATAATTACAGCGTATAGGTTGAATTATTAAATTAGAAATGACGAGGTTACTTCTTTAGTCTCATTATAGAAATACTGAAAATGCCCACAAATAAAGCACATATATCAGGAAACGGTGATTTAGCGTTAGTTTTCGCAAA